CAGGACCTGTACCCGCTCCTGAGCACAGCGCCCTCTAGTGGGCTTTTTTTCTCAGGCCGCCCCAGGGTCTACAGAGTGGTGAAGATGTCCTCGATGCCCCCCAGTGACTAGCAGATCACTGTACCTTCCTTCCACCCTCGAAACCTACCTCGTCGGTTGTAGTTATCTGCTAAACCCCATCATCCCGTGGAGTATTTTAGCACCGCCCCCAGTCCAGTACCACCCATTCATACTTCTAGCGACTGCAAGACCTCTGCAGAGACTCGTCCACTCCCCTGACACTCTGTCTCTGGATGATCTTGTCCTGCTAGCACCTCAGCCATGCACCCCCTTATTATAGCCTAGGTACCATCTCCGGTGGCTGCACCGCCTGCGTCATCTCCATTGCCAGCATCCCACCTCCCAGGCTTTGCCTCTGAGGCCAACCATTCCCCAGCCCCACTGCTGACCCAAAAGATCAAGGCCCAGCCCTTTCATCTACTACTATTCTGCATTCACTCTAAGCTCCCTCACTCCTCTCTCCACGTCCCAGGTAAATCCAACTACACTGAGCCTGAGTGGCTAATCAGAGCTGGAGGGAATATTTCCATGTGCTGACTGCCTCACTGGAAATTCATGACTGGGTTCCAGCCTCAAGAGGGAGCAGCGCTGGCGCCGCGGCTCACTAGGCTAATCCTCTGCCTTGCGGCGCCGGCACACCAGGTTCTAGTCCCGGTCGGGACACCGGATTCTGTCCCGGTTGCCCCTCTTCCAGGCCAGCTCTCTGCTGTGGCCCGGGAGTGCAGTGGAGGATGGCCCGAGGGCTTGGGCCCTGCACCCATGGGAGACCAGGAGGAAGCATCTGGCTCCTGGCTTCAGATCAGTGCAGCGCCAGCAGTGGCAGCCATCTGGAGGGTGAACCAACGGCAAATGAAGACCTTTCTCTCTGTCTCTCTCACTGTCTACTCTGTCCTGTCAGACTGCGGAGCCCACGACTGTCAGCTGCATTTACTGCAACCACTCTACGACCCTGTTCCCTACTATTGACGCATTCAATCTGCTCTACCTTTCGCTACGCAGGGTGATGCGTCAGTTCACCGAACAAAATAGATGTGTTAGAAAAACATTC